GAGAGATGCAATGTATCTCTCTTCTCCATTCATAGAGAGAGAAAAAAGCAAGGGGGCCGGGCTGCACAGTGACTGATCATTGTGATAGCCAATCAGAGGCTATCACAGCGATCATGTGACCAGGAATTGGGAGTCCCGGGTCCCGATCATTAGAACGGGACCCGGGGCTCTCAGTGACACCGTGGTCCTTGTGCTGGGAGTGCGCCGAGCGGTGCTCTCCCAGCACAAAGACAGGTACGCAAATATGCGGCCCCACGGAAAAAAGCCCAGTTCCGTGAGGCCGCATATTTGTGTGACGTCGGCGTCAAGGGGTTGAATTAAAGTGTTACTAAACCCACAACAGTAAAATCAGTCTGTATATGCAGTAAAGCATGCTTGTTATACTCACTGTGGAACCTAAGGGGTTAATCCTCTGCATTGTGTAAAGGAATGACCCATATGGTGATCAGTGCCCTGATGATCAGTGTAGATGCCCCCTCTGAGGAATGCCACTTACCGGCTCTCCACTCCTCACACACTGTCAGCGTGAGGAGGACTGCCATTAACTGGCATTTCCTTTTTACTTGCGATCAGCTGTGATTGGGCAAAACAGATCACATGACAGAGCCTGTGCCATCGGCTCTTTACTGTGATCGTTGATCTGCTGTGTCCCAGAGACAGAGCGCACCAACGATTGCCACGTGCCCCCGGGGTGCACGTGCAGTTAGAGTGGGAGGACATCACATGACGTCCTCCCAGAACAAGAGAACCGCCGCCCACTTCCTTTTATGGCGGGTGGGAAGCAGTTAAAATTATGGACAATTTCAAGGCACCCTCTAAAATTATGGACTGTCTCGAGATACCCTTTAAAATTATGGACAGTCTTGAGGCACCCCATTCTAAAATTGAGTAAACTATTCTAATAGTTTTATATAACGCAGCAACATCCACACATGTAGAACACCCAACGCTAGAGGTGATTTATTCTTCCAAATCAAATACACTTTTGCACACTGGTACTGACTAGTATTACAGTGATTCAGTTTTTCTCCATCACTGTGACATCAATGTGACCCCAGCACTGACGGAAAGAGGCAGGGGAGGATCAAAGATGCTGTGCAAGTAACTGACATCCTCCTTGTCAACTGATGTCATTGGTTGTCAGGATGCCCAAGGCTAGAAGGTCTTAAATGGCGCACAATGAAAACCTGTGGCTTTGTGTAACTAAAAGTCAGGCTTCTTCCACCCGCTAGCTTCTATACAAGTTTTGGGCAATTTTTAGACATTTTGCCAAGGCACCCGGGTTGAGAAAGGCTGATCTATACTGATATGGACTGGGTAGTGTTAGGAATGTAAGGATGCCCCATCATTTGATGGAAATGAAAATTATCAACCTACAGAGGACTGAATTCAAAGACACCCTGAAAATGAAAGTGAAAAAATAATGTGGTAGGCTAGTCCATTTTGCTGAAATTTCATTGTAGCAACTCAAAATGGAACTCAGTAATTTGTATGGCTCCCACGTGCTTGTATGCATGCCTGACAACGTTGGGGCATGCTCTTAATGAGACGACGGATGGTGTCCTGGGGTATTTCCTCCCAGATCTGGACCAGGGCATCACTGAGCTCCTGAACAATCTGAGGTGCAACCTGGTGGTGTCGGATGGACCGACACATGATATCCCAGAGATGTTCTATTGAATTTAGGTCAGGCGAGCGTGGAGGCCATTCAATCGTATCAATTCCTTCATCCTCCAGGAACTGCCTGCATACTCTCACTGAGCATTGTTATACACTAGGAGGAACCCAAAACCCACTACATCAGCATAGGGTCTGACAATGGGTTCAAGGATTTCATCCCGATACCTAATGGCAGTCAGGGAGCTATTGTTTAGCCTGTAGAGGTCTGTGCGGCCTTCTATGGATATGCCTCCCCAGACCATCACTGACCCACCACCAAAATAGTCATGCTGAACAATATTACAGGCAGCATAATGTTCTCTACGGCTTCTCCAGACACTTTCACGTCTGTCACATGCTCAGGGTGAACCTGCTTTCATCTGTGAAAAGCACAAGGCACCAGTGGCAGACCTGCCAATTCTGGCGTTCAGTTTCAAATGCCAATTGAGCTCTATGGTGCCAGGCAGTGAACACAGAGCCCACTTGAGGACATCGGGCCCTCAGGCCACCCTCAGGAAGTCTGTTCCTGATTGTTTGGTCAGAGACATTCACACCAGTGGCCTGCTGGAGGTCATTTTCTAGGGCTCTGGCAGTGCTCATCCTGTTCCTCCTTGCACAATGGAGCAGATACCGGTCCTGCTGATGGCTTAAGGACTTTCTATGGCCATGTCCAGCTCTCCTAGAGTAACTGCCTGTCTCCTGGAATCTCCTCCATGCTCTTGAGACTGTGCTGGGAGACATAGCAAGCCTTCTGGCAATGGCACATATTGATATGTCATCCTGGAGGAGTTGGACTGCCAGTGCAACCTCTGTAGGGTCCAGGTATCGCCTCAAGCTACCAGTAGTGACACTGAACCTAGCCAAATGCAAAACTAGTGAAAAAGTCAGAAAAGATGAGTAGGGGGGAAAAAAATGTCAGTGGCCTCCACTTGTAAAACCATTCCTGTTTTGGGGATCGTCTCATTGTTGCCCATCTAGTGCACCTGTTAATTTCATTAACACCGCAGCAGATGACACTGATTAACAACCCCTTCTGCTACTTAACTGACATCAATATCCCAGGAGTTTAATTGACTTGAGGCTATGCTCTGATTAAAAAGTGTTCCTTTTTCTTTGAGCAGTGTGTTAGCTGTTTGCAACTCTGGCAAAGGCCTGTGTGCTGGTGTTTGCTGTCTCCATGTTGAGATATCAGGCTCTCTGAAGTGTGCTAAAAGTTAGGCTATGAATTCCATGAATTGCAGGTGAAGATGGGGGTAAGATCCCTGGACTATGCGCCTCTTCTCATGAAAAAAAAATGGCTGAGATCTGAACAAAATGGATGTCACATACAGCTTTCATATGCCTAATACACACAACCATTACAGTAGGGACTGTGACATTTGCCAGGTCATAATGGATAAGCACCATTCCCCACCAAAGAACAGATGTTGGTGAACATTAATGTTCTCTTCTAGTTTTAACCCCATTTATTCTTATAGTTTCTTCTTTCTGTTTCATGGTATTGTATCCTTGAATGTACAGTGCATTCATAAAGTATTCAGACCCCCTTCAAATTTTTTAATTTTGTTATGTTGAAGCCCGATACTACAATTTAAATTGATTTTTTTCTCATTAATCTACATTCAGTACCCCATAATGGCAAAGTGAGAACAGAATTTTATACATATCTGCGAATTTATTAAAAAGAAAAAACTGAGACATCACATACTTAAGTATTCAGCTCCTATATTCAGTACTTTCTTGAAGCACTTTTAGCAGCAATTACATCCTTGAGTTTTTTTGCATATGACACAAGCTTTGCACACCTGGATTAGGGGATTTTCTGCCATTCTTCTTTGCAAATCCTTTCACGCTCAATCAGATTCAATGGGGACTGTCTGTGAACAGCCATTTTCAGGTCTCTCCAGAGCTGTTCAATAGGGTTCAAGTCAGGGCTCTGGCTGGGCCACTCTAGGACATTCAAAGTTGTCCCTAAGCTACTCCTGTGTTGTCATTTTGGAAGGTGAACCTTAAGCCCAGGCTGAGGTCCTGAGCGTTGTGGAACAGGTTTTCATTGAGGGTATTGCTGTACTTTGCTCCTTTCAGCTTTCCCTCAACCCAGACCAGTCTCTCAGTCCCTGCTGCTAAAAAAAACATCCCAACAGCATGATGTTACCACTGCCATGCTTCACTGTTGGGATGGTATTGGGCAGGCGATGACCAGTGCCTGGTTTCCTCCAGACATAACGTTTAAAATTGAGGCAATCTTGGTTTCATCAGACCAGAGAAGCTGGTTTTTTACACTCTGAAAATGCTTCAGGTGCTTTTTTTGCAAACTCCAATGGACTTGTGTGTGTTTTGCACTTAAAAGATGCTTCTGTCTTGCCAGTCTGCCATAAAGTCCAGATCAGTGGAGGGCTGCAGTGATGGTTGTCCTTCTGGAACTGTGTCCCATCGCCACACAGGATCTTTGAAGCTCAGTCAGAGTGACCATCGGGTTCTTGGTCACCTCTCTTACTAAGGCCCTTCTCCCCCAATTGCTCAAATTTGGCCAGGCAACCAGCTCTTGGAAGAGTCCTAGTTATGCCAAACTTCTTCCATCTATGAATTATGGGAGCCACTGTGCCCTAGGGAACCTTCATTGCAACAAAAACATTTTGTACCCTTCCCCATATCTGTGCTTTGCAATAATCCTGTCTCTGAACTCTGCAGGCAGATCCTTTGACTTCATGGCTTTTGCCCTGATACAGTATGCATTGTCTGGTATAAGGCTTTTTATAGAGAGGTGTGTGCCTTTCCAATCAATGTAATTTACCACAGGTGCAATCCAATCAAGGTGTAGAAACATATCAGCAATGATCAAAAGAAACAAGAGGCACCTGCTGCAAAGGGTCTGAATACTTACGCCAATGTGATATTGAAGTTTTTCCTTTTTCATACATTTGCAAACATTTCTACAATTCTATTTTCACTTTGTCATTATAGGGTGTATATAGAGTGTAGATTAATGAGGAATAAAAATTAGTTTAACCACTAGCCTACAGGGCACTTATACCCCCATCCTGCCCAGGCCAATTTCCAGCTTTCAGCGCTGTCGCACTTTGAATGACAATTGCGCGGTCATACAACACTGTACCCATATGAAATTTTTATCATTTTTTTGTGACAGATACAGCTTTATTTTGGTGGTATTTAATCACCTCTGGGTTTTTTATTTTTTCTTAAACCAAAAAATGGAAAATTTTGAAAAAAAGCGTTTTTTTCCTTAGTTTTTGTTTTTAAAATTTTGTAAATAAGTGATTTTTCTCCTTCACTGATGTGCACTAATGAGGCTGCAGTGATGGACACTGATGAGGAGGCACTGGTAGGCATTGACAGGCATCACTGAGTGGCACTGTTAGGCAGCACTGATGGGTGACACTGAAAGGCAGCTCAAATGGGCACTGATATGTGGCACTGGCAGGTGGCATGGATGAGCACTGATGGTCACTGAAAAGTGCCACTGGGGGGCTACACAGATCATCAGTGCTCTGATGATCTGTGTACATGTCCCCTCTGGGGAATGCCGATTACCGGCTCTCCTCACGAGCTGTAAGCGTGACAGCTCGTGGGGAGAGAAATGCCGATAACCGACATTTCCCTGTTTACATGTGATCAGCTATTGGATCGGTGAAGCCAACATCCGATGTGATATGTGTACGAGGGACACAGCGCACCACCGATCGCCGTGCTGCACGCTCCAGGAGCCGCGCAGGCACGGTTAGACTGGGAGGACGTCATATGACGTCCTCCCAGAACGAGAGAACCACCTTGCGTCCGTCTTATTACTATATAGCGGGTGGGAGGCGGTTAAAAAACTGTAGTATCACACTGCAACACACACAAAATTATAAAAAAAGTGAAGGGGGTTGAATACTTTATAAATGCACTGTACAGCTCTATTTGGGACTGTTAGTCACATTTTGTTTAAGGAATATCCTCTATAAAGACCGCTTCGGTGTTGATCAGGAATAGTCAGCAATGCCCATCTTCTAGAGGATGGCTTATTTTCACTAGGAACTAAGGAAACAGCCATGCAGCCAGGAATGTTGTTCCAGTCTTAACACATTATTTCCTCGCTTTTTACTTAACGTCTGTCTATGATGTTGTCGACTTCTTTTGAATTTCCTCTTATTGTTTAAGTCCAAGTGCAAGAATGCAGATGGGCAATCTCCTGATACTTGTACGGAAGTGACGTGGCCCTAGTAACCCACAACAATGAAGGTCCACAGGCTCACTTATGGTAAATGTGTGTGCCACCTCTGCCTGTTATAATTTCAGAAGCTCAGAGGAAGAATTACACAGGTCAGCAGAACAGTGCACTGCACAATAAACACTTGTTAGATGAGGTCATATGCTGGAATCATACAAACTGTAGGACACAGGAGCTGCGTTGGATCAATCTGAGTAAAGCTAGCTATCCAAAATACTAAGACGCACTTGGTCTGTGACGCCTGCTAGCTTGATTGTGTTTAATGTAACAGCCTGTTAAAATTGTGTTTGTGTTTAACATCCCCATACTAGAAGTTTTCTTTAAAGGCTTCAACGTTTCTCAAAGATTTCCCAAAGCTTTGTATTGCTAAAGACTGTTGTACACATTGCTGTTATGTAAGCTAAAACCTGTGTGAACAAGGCCTTATAAATGCATATAAAAAGGTATTTGCAACACACATCTGATTACTCCAATGTTAAAGTGACTGTAAACCCTTGTAAAACAACGAAGTTTAAAATAGAAATGAAAGGCAAAACATTTGTGCATAGATATAAAAAAAATATAAATATTTTCTCTTTTTTTCATAAGAGATCACAATCTGTTCTCAGCTGCATAAGAGCTCAGGGAGGAGAAAAAGCAGTATGCAGATCTTCCCAGTAAATAGCTGGGAAGGTGTGTGAGGACAAGTCTGATCATTGGAGAACAGTACAGTGAGTTTTCAGCATAGCTAGAAAACAGACCACGGTGTGTTCTGCTGCCTAATGTGGTCAGTTTTTAATAGGAAAGCAGAGGGACTGGCAGGAACAGCAGGGATTTCACACAAAGTAAGCAAGATACTTTTTTTATACGAGTACATGGTATAGCAGGCACATATTAGGTATATGAAATACTGGCTTTACATATTCTTTAAACTAAAGCTAAGGTGCCCAAAATACTAGAAGATTGAATCTACCATGATCCAGTTACTATAAATATTTTATATTACAATCATTTGTGGCAGTAGATGGCCCACAGTACACTTCCATGAGTGCTACTCACCATAATTAAAGCCTAAGTTTAGGTAAAAGAAAAGTCAAAGTTCTATCCCTTCTTCACACTACTACAAAATGTACTTTTGCTTGTTTCCGTTGGCTAGATTTCCCTTCGTGTCCTGAAATCATCCTAGGAGGGACACAAACAGAAGTAAATCCCCAGACAGAGACTCTAACCCAGGGGTGTCAAACTGGTGGCCCTCCAACTGTTGCAAAACTACAAGTCCCATTATGCCTCTACCTTTGAGAATCATGCTTCTAACGGTCAGCCTTTCGATGCCTCATGGGACATGTTTTTTGGCAATAGCTTGAGGGCCACCAGTTTAACACCCCTGTTAAAAGTCTAACCCCTCTCTGTCAAAAATGTCATAAACCGTGTGGAAGATGCTGGGCTTTAACCTTTGGGGTGTGATGGGGAGGACAGAAGACAATGAATGTCCTTATTCTTTTTAACAAAAAGTAGTAGGGGGAGGGGGTTTGGTGTTTTTTTTAGTTGTATGTTTAGTACAGCTGCCCAGGTATGATAATCAGCCATGCTCTTTGCCTGTAGTAGCTGCTTTTTACATAAGAGCTAACATATCTACCAATACTTGCGCACAGGACTGCTTGCTATTGGCAAGTTCTTTACACTTGTAATATCTTAAAAGATGGCCATAGATTAATAGAATTTCAATTGAAAATTCTTAGAAAAAGTTTTAAGAAAATTCGTACAAACATTCTCAGAACATTCTTTTGTTGCTCAAAAGATTTTATTTGCTTTTAACAATTGATTTTGGAATGGCTGGACATTACCAAACAAAAACCAAAATACACTGTTAAAAATGTGTTCATTAAAAAATTTTCCATCCTGCATTCAAATTTTTCTATCACTGCAGTCAAAAATGAACATCAACTTGACCCACTAATGATTAGAAAAATCAAATGAACTTTCTTCGAACATTCTTTTTTTGAAATCCTACCCATCTATGGCCAGCCTAATTCTGTGGATCTCTGTATCAGTATATTAAGGAAGAAAAAACACTACTTGTGACAAACCCCCATTAGCTGTTCCAAATACTGCTGTAGCACTGATGTGGAAAGGCCTCTGTCTGCCAGATTCAGACTTGAGATTTAGGAGGGGACCACAATTTCACCCCTGCCTGGTGCTGCTGAAAGGCACACAGATTGATAACAGCACAGAAAAAGGGGCTATGACCTATGCAGGCATGGGTATAGCATGTGTGGCAAGTATGTATCTCAAACAAAAGAATATTACTTATCAATAGGTGGCATTGCAAAATACAGGAGCATTACCACTTTGAACCTACTAGAAGTCAATTAAAACTGTTATTAGAAAATAAAAACTCCATTACAAAAACAATGCAGTGAATTACCAGCAAAAGGTCTGGACAGACAAAATTGTTCAGATTATAAATCTGTGGTGACGATTTACTGCCACCTAGAGACAATATCATGAAAAAAACACACCTTCTGGGAAAAGATTCTAAATAATTGGTCTAATGCTTTCTGCAAGGATACGGACAGGAAAAAGGTGCCTCCTGAAGCAGCCACTAATCCATAGGCACATTCACGTGTCTGCTTTCATTCTCAGATCATCTGCACCGTTCTCTGGATCATCAAATGATGAGAAACAAATGGTAACCACAGCTTTAGTGGCCTGCCTCCTCTTCTCTTCGACACTTTTCTATAAGCTATTATATTCAATGTATGGTCTGAAAAACCATGACAAAATGGCAAGAGAAATACACAAAATGGAAAACTCGCCAAATGCAAAATTCACTAACATTCCGTGCAATTGATGAGACATACGCAGCAGCTGCTGGATTTAAAGCTGGCATGCAAATTACAAAATAGGAGCTATGCAAATTTTTACTGTAATTAAAAAGCAAGCATGACAGATCGTTTTTTTCTGGCTAGGTTTGCGACCAAAGCCAACAGTCTGGTTTCAGCTTTCATTTTCAAACCAGTTTAAGAGAAAAAAAAAAAAAAAAAAAGAATCTGCTACAGATTTTTGTAAACTCTATTATTAATTCAACCGTTAAAGTATAACTAAAGGCAAAACATTTTTCTTTAGTTTTGGATAGAGTGGAGATGGATTAGAACGTCTCTCAGTTTTTATTGCTGTTTGTGCCCCGATAATGGAGATTCACCCACTCTGTCTTATTGACCATTATCATTGAAAGTAAAAGAAAATCCCAAATTTTGGGTTGTCCCCAGAGAAGTAATAGAGGAGAAATCTTCCAAGGGGGTCACTAGTTATGGTGACCTGCCCCCCCCCCCCCCCCCCCAAGGAATTCCCTTAATTTGCAGGGATTACCTCCCACCTCCCGTTTGGCTATAGGACAGGACGTGAATGGAAATCTACGCAATGGGACACAGATTGCAAAAAAAAAAAAAAAATAATAATATGACAAGGGTTATAACCCTCCCTATCCAAAATGAGAAAAAAAAAAAAAGTTTTGCCTACAGTTTTATTTTTAATATTTAAAGTAGAAAGAACGTCTACAGTAATTAGTGTAAAACTCACTTGCATACAATTTTCACCTAGATATTCACTGTTCCATAGTTCGTTGTTGGCAATTAATATACAGATCTTTAGATTACAGACTAGCCGCTGTCTGTATATATATTATACCTGTAAAAGGTCTTGCAAACATGGCTGCAATGTCACTACTCATACACAAACTCAAGTACAGGGCTCATAAAACAAAAACAATCATCAGAAGGGCCTTTTTGACAAAACATGTAGGGTTGAACCCACGCTTGTGACAACATCGTGTATTACCGAATCTGGAAATGATCTACGCATTCCCCTGGGGAGTTTGAATTGTACAGCAATGCCTATGTTTTTATATATGCAAGTAGCATTCGTTTAATGAATATTGGATATCATCGATTTTATAGTATGTGGAGCGTTCTCTTTTTCCATGCCCATTCCTTTGAGTGGCTGCCTATATATATGGTGGAGTGAAGTGGCAACATCATATTTCTAGAATCTGAGCCAATTGCTTTAAGTGTTATATGACTTCTCACTCTGAGGGTCTCACCATTCTGATAAGCCTCTGACCTGGGCATTGGTATAGATGCACCAAGTGTATCGTTTCTTTCACCTGGAGATTTTTCTACATTATATGAACATTTTTTAATTTACAATTTAAGGTGGAGTTCCTTTCTTTGCATGGACATTCTACTACATATTTACATAGACACATATATTGAACTGATATGAGTTTTGTTTTATGAGCATTGCACTTGAGTTTGGGTTTATTGGATATTACCATTTTTGTATCTAATGGCATGCTAGCTGCTGGTATAGGGATCTCACCCTTCTTTTTTTAAATTCCACTACTCACACAATAAATACATGTTATTTCCAGGCATGTCTATGGCTACAGAAAGCTCACCTGTAATTGCGTTGGTCACACCAGTTTACACATAAGAAAAGCAGTGCGACCTGCTTGCAGTGACCCTGGCCTATATTGGTTTGGTACAGCTGCCGTCACAGGCAGGAGTGATCACAGAAAAGATTTACCTTCCACCACTCGCAATAAATCACAGAAATTTCAAACTTTCTTTAAAATTTTATGAACAACGTTCTAGTCCTTTTCAACCAGACAAGTGAATCGGATTTGACAGCTTTTTGACAAACGCTATGAATTTACATTTCCTGCATATAAAATGTTTTAAAACGTGGTATAAAAAGGTCCATTGGCAACTGCCAGATCAAGATGAGGATTTTATGCCTGTTGAGGTCTTCTGTTCAGGAATTAATGATTTGGTCTCCCCAGAAATAGTTTCCTTTTTACTCGTCATAGTTGCAAAGAGAGTGTCCATCATTCCCAACACTTCCAGAAGTTCTTCTTGATAATGTATTTCCTTTTCTAAAGTGTCTTGGAGCTTCAGGAATAGTTGGTCGATTACAGATGACTGGGTCGATAACAGATGAATAAATATCTAAGGATGAATCATTATGATAACCTCATTAGAATCTACACAGCACTGACCAGCACTGCTGGCAATATGAGAGATTGATGAAGGAATAAATTCACTTACCGATAACTTGTTCAGCTACATTTATCAGTATTGGGGCGAAGCGGGGCTCTACCACGTTTCTGTTGAAAAAAATTCACTGTTATTACGGTTTCTTTATATGTACATCACCAAGATAATCCCACATGGTATTAACCCCTTCCTGCCATATGCATGCACAACTTCATGTGCTGAGTTAATAAACTTTCCCCCTTTAAGAGCCACCAGCCAATACTTTTTACACTTGGAGTTTCTCAATCCCAATTGTCACCCACAGTTTGGATCTATACCGATGTTTATACCAAGTACTTACAATGCTCGTATTTATAAAAAATAACGTATTCATGAATACAGAGATGTATTATTATGTCTGTATGGAGTTCAGCTTAGAGATCAAGATGAAATATCACATCTGAATATTTGTTCGAATTTGCTCTTAAGCCTGTTTATGAAGCTCAACAGCTAAAACCAAAAATGCTCTGAAATTCTCATTATTATTTATATAAAACTAGTCATTTTATATAAATAAAAAAAACATTAAAAGTTTATTAAAAAAAGAAAAGAAAGAAAGCACAAGGGACATTATTGATAGAAGCTACTGTATGGTTTTATGAATGGTTTGGAGGCACTCCTAATGCATACCTCGGTCAGCTCCCTTATTTCTATTAACCCCTGCCACACTAGAAGATTGCGATGCAGGGTTGGGGGAAGGGGGCATCAAAGGAGGAAGATTTCTGCTGAATGACACAGAAGAACAAGGGACACATCTCACCAAAGATAATTAATGTCCCTTGTGCTTATTTTTTATATTACTTAACTAAACTTCGACTTTAAACTCAAAATACCTTCCTACTTTTTGCAAATTCCTATTGGCCCATGAAGCTGCCTACAACATTGATGAGCCAAAACTAAATATGCGGGCAACTGCACCTCATACCTGCAGTAGTATTCCCCCATTCTGCTAATGACAGAGTCTCTTTAACCACTTATTCTCCAAAAGATTCACCCCCCTTCCTGACCAGGCCATTTTTTGAGATATGGCGCTGTGTTACTTTAACTGACACTGTATGGTCATGCAACGCTGTACATAAATGAAATGTTATGTCTTTTTTTCACCCCAACAAATAGAGCTTTCTTTCGGTGGTATTTGATCAGCTCTGCGTTTATTTTTTGCACTATAAACAAAAAAAAGACTTCATAAATTTAGGCCAAAATGTATTCTGCTACATGTCTTTGCTAAGAAAAATCCCAAAACATGTAAATTAATTGTTTTATGTGAAAGTTACAGCATCTACAAATGGCGGTATATATACTGGGAATTTTTTTATATTTACTAGTAATGGCAGCGATCAGCAACTTATAGAGGGAATGCGGCAGGCATTCTGACACTGGGTGGGAACTGATTAATTGCCACTGACATCCCAATGACACTAATACAGTGATCAGTGCTAATAAAAAGCACTGACACTGTACTAATGATACTGGGTAGAAAGGGATTAACATCTGGGGCACTCAAAGGGTTAACGGTGTGCTGATTTGCATTGTGTTGTGTGTGTTTTTACTAGGGAGACAAGCTGCTTTTTATTTCTATGCTGTGCAGAGAAATACAAAGCAGTATGTCCTTGCTGGCAGGAGAAAGACCTGTGTTGTTTACACACAGTTCTCTCCCGTCAGCTTTCCCCCGACGATCGCAAGGTGGCGGCGGAGAATCTCCGGCCAGGACCTGATGACTGACATCCCTAGCCGCCAATAGTGGGGTGCACTCTCTACCCGGAGATGCAAACCACGTATATATACACAAGTGGTTTTGTGCAGCCCTGCCACCATGTAGCAGTACTTCTACTATAGGACGGTGGGCAAGCGGTTAAAGTTTATCTAGACCCAAGACCAAAAATGTAATATATTGCAGGTTACCAGTCCTTAGATGAGATGGCTGCATTAGCTTTCTCTTTCGAAAGCCCCCCCCCCCACCAATTTTCACCTGGAGGTCCAACCAGTAACAATTAATCGTTCATTTTAGCGTATCTATTGAGGTGTTCTTTAGGTCACAGAGAGAACTAGGGCTGCTGACATTGTTTAAAAATTAGGCGCAGTATTGTTGGATTGGGACATGAGTTTAGGAGCGGACTAGATTTTTGTCAGGGTCATCAAGTATTTTTTGCACCTGTTGAAGAGATACAACAAGTATTCCATTATTCTGGAAAAATTCTTTCAACCTCTCTACTGTTTAAGATGGGTATCTGATCTGATCCCTGAAGACTGAAGTGCGATTTGGCCGTCACGTCTGAGAATATTCCTATACAAGGTATTGTCAGACTGGTTTTATTCCTGGGCAAGAACTGCAAAATGTATACCCAATGGCATGTTTTCAGGGGTGTTCAGACATAGGGAATATGATGCACATATGCAGGTCTACACTATGACCAATACAATACTCTGGGTAATTCTCCATAAGGACCCTTGGGAGGTCCGCCTACACAAAAACTGAAGAGGTTTCTCACTGTGAACGCACACTTATCTCCGACATGTTCATAAGCCAGTAAACAAACCCAGGCCCAAGCATGGGAACCTTCATACCCTAGAGCTTAAAAGCCACATACAGGGCACTTCACTCGTGAGAAGCTGACAGTTTTTCCAAGTGACACACGCGATGACTTGGAAGTCCACATAACTATGGTAATGTTCATACCTCATGCCTCAGTCATTTATATCTTTAATCCCTATTAACCCTAAGTAAATGATTTGTGATCAGACAGTATGACACCATTGGGCCCTGTTTGTCAAATTCTTATCAATAAACTTTCTTGGTGAAAGAAGAGATGTAACAAAACACTTTAACCACTTCAATACCGGGCACTTTTACCCCCTTCCTGCCCAGGCCAGTTTTCAGGTTTCAGCACTTTCACACTTTGAATGACAAATGCGCGGTTATGCAACACTGTACCCAAGCTAAAATTTTATCATTTTGTTCACACAACTAGAGCTTTCTTTCGGTGGTATTTAATCACTGCGGGGGGTTTTATTTTTTGCTAAACAAAAAAATGTCCGAAACTTTAGAAAAAAAAAAAAAAAAAAAACACATTTTCTTTGTTTCCGTTATAAAAGTTTGCAAATAAATAATTGTTCTTCATAAATTTAGGCCAAGATGTGTTCTGCTACATTTTTTTAGTGAAAATAACCCAAATCAGTATTTATTATTAAGTCTGTAAGAAAGTTATAGAGTTCACAAACTATGTTATATATCTGAAGATTGATCAATCCTGAAGTACTGACGGCCAATCTAACTTCTTGAGGTACAAGAATGTCAGAACAGTACAGATATCCCCCAAATGACCCCTTTTTGCAAAGCATACAGACCGACGTATTTCATAAGAGGCATGGCGAGTTTTTTGAAGTTGTAAATTTTTTGGAAAATGAAGAAATTAAAAAAAATGTTTTTCACAATTTTTTTTTTCTACATACTGTCACCAGTGCAGTACAGCATCATCATATAACTGGTGTGGCGGTGATCAGGGACACTGACTGGTGAGAGTAGGGGAAAAAAAAAAAATATATAATTTTTTTTATTTATTACTTGTCCGAGGTACACGGCCGGTGACAAATCTCACCACAGCACAGCCCTGTGGGCATGCGCAATGCCTGTTCTGGGAAGGACGCCATATGGCGCCCTCACAGAGGGACGAAGTGTTTGCCCAACCACCATTTTGGCCATAGGCCGAGGGGCAACTGGTTAAACTGTTTATCTCACAAACAAAAAAAATAAGATTATTTATTACTGAGGTTTACATAAGCTTTAAAAGGCAGAGCAAGAATTCAGGTTTAATTGCAATCAGCAGTGAAAAAAAAAAAAAGAAAAGGAAGAAGTGACAAGTTACTGCAAGGATGTGAAGAAAGAGAGCTGGAACTTAAATAAGGTCCCAAAACAGCTGGTGTGCGGCTAAGGGTGTTATATCAATACAGCCAGCATATACACTCATCAGCCACTTTTTTAGGTACGCCTTGTTAGTGCCAAGAAAATATCCCCCACACCATTACACCATCACCACCAGACTGAACCGGTGATACAAGGCAGGATGGAGACATGCTTTCAAGCGGTTTACACAAAATTCTGACCCTATCTGAATGTCGCAGCAACCAGTCTTCCCATTCTCCTGTGACATCAACAAGTCATTTTCTTCCACCCAACTGCCGCTTACTGGATATTTTCTCTTTTTCGGACCATTCTCTGTAAATCCTAGAGATGGTTGTACATGAAAATCCCAGTAGATCAGCAGTTTAAATACTCAGACCAGCCCGTTTGGCACCAACAACCATTTCACATTCAAAGTCACTTAAATCCCCTTTCTTCCCCATTCTGATGCTCAATTTAAACTTCATTACATTTAGACATGGTGAAGACGACTTGCTGAATTGCTGCCATGTGATTGGCTGATTAGCAATTTGTGTTCCCAAGCTATTGAACAGGTGTACCTAATAAAGTGGCCGGTGAGTGATATACAGGTCTCAGGCACAGTGTTAGTGAAAATCTAGAAGGTTCGAGTTGAAACACCAGAAATAATGTGTAGGTATTACTAATTATTAAATGACAGTAATTTCACACAAGATGCAGCTGGATACGTACTTTATGAGAAAGGTCAGTATGGAACTCAGCTGTTTTTCATCTCTCCCTGCCAGAGCATTTTTAAGAGTTCCTCTTCTCTGAATTTCATTCATTACAGCCACTGTGATCTCTGGGGTTCCATTTTTAACATTGATCTGTAACATAGGGGGAACAATACAATGTAAGGACAGACGGACACATACACACACACAGACACACACACACACACACACAAATCAGTTGTGGTACAATGTAGTAACATGAGCTTTATTGCAATGTATCATACGCACATTAAAAAGGTGCCATTCATTTTGAAAGATACCAAGGCAATGCACCCCTGATGTATCTGTATAGTCCTCATTGCATTGTATATTCACCTTCATAACACCAGCACTATCTAAGAACTACTAAACACCTTCACCGTTTAGGGTGTATTGGACTTCATGTTTTGGCTGGAGTATAGGTAGTTCATGGGACTTGTTATCGGGTCCTTTGTATAATATTCATGACACATTGTGTTCATATTATTTATGTCACTTATACACTATTTATTTCACATACCCCTGATTTAGGGGACACGGTCTTGTGATGTCACGTGTATTCTACTCATCACAATTTCACTTGAATCCATAAGTTTCAGCGGATTTTATATTTCAGCAATAGATTTGTGTTGCAAAAAAACCTTGCGGTTTTATTTTACATCTACACAGTTTCTACGGGGCGGAGCTTGATTGATGTGATGTCATTACATTTTTGGCTGCCAGCTACTGCGCATGTGCTGAGTAGCCAGGCTCTTTTATGTGATTGCTGTTATGCTGTTGATGCTGGTGTCGGCTGGGACACCTCTTGAGTAAGTGCAATGAGTACCTAATAAAGGAATTGGTTTTTATAATATTGCACCATGAAGTCTTTCTGTTTCTCTCGAGTGCTTGGCATTTCCCCCCATGGATACGTTTGAAGGTGGTCCTTTATCTATTGGAGAAGTGGATTTTCGATTAACTACAAAGTTTTTCATCCTGTTATTTCGATCGATGAGGATCGGTGTGTTGCAGAGTTTCCGTTTCTGAAGATATATTTATGGATGATCTGCCATTATATTATCAAGGTTTTTTGGTGAAATTTTTCATATTTAGACACTTTTTTTGCACAAAAGTTTTTTGCACTTAAAAGTTTTTTTATATTTTTTTGTGGTATTGGCATATATATATATTTTTTTCTGGACTTATGATTTGATGATTTCTTTATATATATTTATATATTTATACACATTTACTAGCGCAAATTATTTATTTATTGGTACAGTTTCTACGGTTTGTTTTTATTTATCACTTCCACTTATCTTTCATTATGTTCAATGTGAACACCTAAATTTTGGGAGCATTTCCTATAGCAACTAATCAGTTGCAGTATAGAATTTTGTCATTGTACCTGTATCTCTGATTTTTGGGATCCTCAAAAGGATCATATCACGGTTTTTGTGGGCACTATTCAAAAAGAAGTAATATATGTATATATCTATTTTTTGTTCACCCATAGTCACCTATTTATTTCTAGTGGTGTACCTAGGTTACATATTTTTTACGTTTGGGTGTTATTCATTGTTATCCACAAATTTGGATGTTTTCATGTGCATTCTATTCAATATTCTAATTTTGGTTTTGTGTATATTATTTTACAAGTTTTAGTATAATCTACACTGTGTGTGGTATAATCATAACAGGAGTTTATTTGTTACCTAGATATAGCGCAGCACCAATTAGTCTTTAATTAATGCCCCCCTGATGCTCATGAATTGCAGTACATTACAATATATGGTAACATCCTACTGTGTACTGTGGTGCACTGGTTCAAGAAAAATGTTTGATTTTTGGTCTGTCTGGTGCTACCTTATCCACTTGCTGTCCTGGACAATTCTGACATTTATCACATACATGTATAAATCTGCATTTTGCGCAAGATTATTACTTAGAACCCTCAAACAAAATATATTTTCTGAAATCAAAGGCCCAGGAGAATAAAATGGTGGGTGTATCAATTTTTTGTCACATAATATTTGCACACCAGTTTATCATAAACACTTTCAGAAAAAAACATTAAAAAATACATTTTAAATGAGTTTTAGTTCATACAAACGCAATTAAATACCAAATTGTGGTAAAATATAAAAGATGATATGTGAGTAAGTAGATACCCAACGTCACGCTTTAACATTGTGAACACTCATGAAATGGCGACAAACTGCAGTACATTAAATTATCCACAGGCGAAGCTTTAAAAGCCTTTACAGGTTACCAGTTTAGAGTTACACAGGAGGTCTAGTGCTAGAATTCTTGCTCTCACTTTGATGTTTGTGGTAATACCTCATGTGTGGTGCAATCACCTTTTACACATGTGTGTGGGACCTGCCTGCATGTTTGAGCATGTGGGGGGGGGGGGGGGGGGGACTTTAAATTTGTATTTATTTTTACGCTCTTTAAAATTTGTTTTTTTTATTGAACTATAATGCCATCACAAAGTATGAACAACATCCCTTGAGAACATGGGGTCTATCTCTCCTTTGTCCTCCAAAGCAGCTGAACAAACCAAGACTGTTTTGAACTGAAACAAAACAAAGCAAGAAGCAATGAGGATTTCTGAGGTCACAGAGGTTGGGGAGGAATGGACGTTTCTCCCATTCTTCACAGTGCATCCAATGTAACAGGTCACATCGATCCCAGGCTTCCCAGTGTTACAGGAGAGCCCGGGAAAGGTGAGAGTGGGGTGTCCCTTCCGCTACCTGTAAAAGTGATTGATCAGCTATAGAGCTGCTCGGATCACTTTTACCAGAAAGCCCATTGCCTGCTAAAAATGATACCAGGATCAGGCTGCAGCTGTATATGTGCTTCCATTTTGCTTACTTAGGAACCCTAAGACAAGCGAAGCCCCATTTGTTTTAATGCTGATAGGAGGAGAAGACAGGTCAGATCAATGACATGTGACTAGACTCTCCTATCAATGTTCCCTTCAGCACTATGCAAAGAGCACTTGGAAAGACACAGTGGGCTTCACAACATGCTCTTCATATTCTAAATTAAACATAAAATGTTGATGCAGAAGTACTTCGTGTAGCGTTCTGAGGAGGGCAGTATTCACTGTTATAAATCGGCTCCTTAGGGCCCTTTCACCTGGGCGTTCTGTTCATCCTTTTTTGGATGGAAAATGGATAGCAATTCATTCATATGGGCTTCCAAATGTAAACATAAGATCATCTGTTTATATCCTCCTACATGAGTGTCCATTCAGGTCTTGTTTTTTTAAATCAAAAAAGTCTGTGTCCTTTTCTGCTTAGGTGGATGTTAAAAAGGATGGATGTAAACGGATGTAGTCCGTTTACTAACATTCCATTTATGTCCATTTTTAGACAAGAAATAATTTTTGTTTATATTTTTGTCAGTTATGGTTACTTTCTTCAACGATTAGAAAAAAAAAAAAAAAAAAAAAACAGATGTAAACTGAACTCAACTGGACTGATGACAGATGTGCAAATCGGATTTAACCTGTATTCAGTATTAATCAGTTTTTTTTCTTAGCAAAACACGTGACTGAACTGATGACACCCGCGTGAAAGGACCCTTAGAGCAAATTTGGCCAGTTGTAGAGGCCACACAAACCTGGCCCTACAATTCTCTGGGCTCAAAGTCGAAGCCAATTTCAATAGTAGGTACTTTGAGGTTGCCCTGCAACCTCAAGTTCTGTAAACCATTAATATTTTCTCACTGTTTCCTAACCAAATGGCAACAAATTTGCCTCTTACCTCTAAAACAGCATCTAGTGCCGCAGACACCTGGAAGCCTCTGAGTAGTCTGTCATATTTTCTTAAGTGCTTCCTTACTGGTTTACTGACAACAAAGTCATCCTGTAGAAACGACAACACTGAAAAGTCAATAACTGTAATAGGTGTTTGACATTTAGATCAAAACAGTCATTTAGATATTCCATCTCACAGTACTTGTGCATTGAGGCTGTTGTGTAATTTATTGCTGCCTCTTTCAAGCCAAAGCACTCTAGCAATCCCTACATAGCAACTGTGAAAAGTCCTCCCATTGGCTGATCTTAGAAAATAGAGAAGTTCCAGGAGGTGATTATGTCCTTGTTTCCATACTGAATATATAAAGCAGAGATACTGCAGGTCAGTTTTCTGATGGCACAGAGTTTTCACAGCTGCTAGCTAGGAAATGTATACAGCAAGTTTTTCTTTAGGAGAAGCCAAATTATTGTAATTTCGATGTATTGAAAATTACCCAACTACATGCAACCTTTCTCTGCTAGTTGTAAACAGATTTGAGCAGCTGCAATTTTGAATGTAATTAATTATCTCTTGTTTTACAGCTTTATTTAGTATACACATTACAATATGGCACTTTCACGTGGTTTGAATACAAAAGGCCTTCCATTTCAAGAAGGAAAAAACAGCCTGAAAAAAAAAAAAAAAATCCATGACCCCTTAATAGGGCTGTGTTTCTGTACCTGTTTCGGCATATAGTCCTTGCCCCTCACAAACACTCTGTATCTCGGATGTTTTCTGGATGGAAGCTCATTTGGTTTCTTCTCTTCAGGTTTCCGGTGTTTGATATTAAGCACTCCATTGGTCATTCCCACCACAATCATCTCGTCGTCAGCCTACAATCCAGAGCATTAAATTATTATTTTCTATTGGATCTAATGTCTGATCTCAGAACATTTTTAGTAAGAGAACAAAACTGTTTAACAATAGAACAGTACACTTTTATCACAATGAATATTTGGAACTGAATGTATGAAATTACACAGGACTGCGACTAAAAAGCGGTTTGATTATTTTCATCTAATTTCCATGTATTTTGGTGTGCTGAAAACAAATAAAATATTGAAAAAACTCCTAGACGACATGATTTGCCACGAAATGCAAATTGTCTTCAAATTTATCAAATTTTTTTAATTTTTGGTATTTTTTTATATTATGGGTTTTTAATCAAATTTAAAGTCCAAATTACTATTAATTAATTCACATAAGTGCATTTAAGATATAAAATGCCAAAAAAAACCTTAACCACTTCCAGTCCAGACACTTTTACCCCCTTCCTGACCAGGGCAATTTTCAGCTTTCAGCGCTATCACACTTTGAATGACAATTGCGCGGTCATGCAACGCTGTACCCATATGAATTTTTTACCATTTTTTTGAGACAGATAAAACTTTATTTTGGTGGTATTTATTCACCGCTGGGATTTTAATTTTTTTTGTTATGTAAATGAAAATGTCCAAAAATTTTGAAAAAAAGTGTTTCTTATAAAATTTTGCAAATAAATAATATTTCATCATAAATCTTGGCCAAAATTTATTCCGTTATCTTTTTAGTAAAAAAAAAAAAAAAAAAAATAAAGCCAAATTAGTTTATAGCCAAAAATAATAATTTTTAAACATTTTTTTTTTTTTTTTTTTTTTTTTTACATACTGTCACCCTAGCAGTACATCTATGGTGACACTGTACTACTTTTGGGGGGTGATTAAGATTTTTTTTTTTTTTTTTTTACACTAATTGCTTTTACAATAATTTTCTCTCTTTCTCTCTGTCTGCATTCTTGCATCTTGATTGGTCACAGCTTGTCACATGGTACAAGGCTGTTGTGAATAGCCTTGTACCATGTGACCTCTGTGATCATTCACAGATTTCACACGTAGTAAGCAATGATGTCAGAAGTGACATCTTGCTTACTACTTTGCATGTGATCACTGATTGGCCAATCAGTGATCACATGATCGGGACCTCGTACAGAGGTCCCGTCCGATGATTGGTGTTTCACTGTGTCCGGAGGACACAGCGGGCACCGATTCGCGGTGCTGCGCGCTCCCCGGGGAGCGTGCACAAGCAAGGTGCGGGGAGGCCGTTTATAAACGGCCGCCCGACCCTGCAGTGCCACCCTCCGGCCATTTATATACAATGGCCAGTCAGGAAGTGGTTAAAGGGGTTGTCCGAGTTATGTAAAAAAAAATATAGCACTGTAAATCTGATGGTTAGCAATATATACATAAGCTAAGCAAGTTTTAGAGGAAAAAAATTCTATTTCCTCATTTCCCTAGTTCTAGTCTACCCTTTGTTGTTATTTGCAGGTAAACAATCTCTGCCCCTCCCCCCCTGCAAAGGGGGTGAATACAAGTGCTGCTCTGAGTGACATGTCTGACTACTGGGATACTCAGCAGCATGCTGTATGTGTAAGCCTCAGCCCTGAGTCTGTGCTTCTAATGGTAGAAGGGGTTAATTTTTCCTGAAGAATCCAGTGGGTGGGATACCAAATACCCTTGTTTTCTGTGTCTATGGGACAGTCAAGACCAACAAAATCACTGGACCAAGAAGAGTTGGTAGCCGAGGGTGCTAACTGACGGTGAAAAAAAATGTCCTCAGAGAAACTTTGGTACCTTCCCATAAAGTTCTTCTACCACCTCTCCACATAAAATTGGGATTGATGAAGCAATTCATAAAATCACTTCCAAGAGACGGAGAATGCTTCAAATACTTGGTCACCAAGTTTCCAGGCCTATCGGAGGAAAAATTGAAGGAAGGTGTATTTGTCGGACCAGACATTAGAAGGCTTATAGTTGATCAAGAGTTTGTCAATACATAACGGATCCTCAAAAGAAGGGTGGATTGCACTTAAAGAAGTCGTACAAAAATTTTTAGGCAATAACAAAGATCCTCACTACAAAAAGATTGTCGGACGAATGCTGAAAGCATTTCAAGCTTTAGGTTGCCTGATGAGTTTGAAAGTGCATTTCCTCCAGTCCCACCTTGACTACTTTCCTGAAAATGTGGGAGCTGTGAGTGAGGAACAAGGTGAACGATTCCACTAGGACATTAAAGAGATGGAAAGGAGATACCAGGGAAAATGGAGCATTACAATGATGGCAGACTACTGTTGGATGCTTCAGAGAGACATTCCAGATGCTACTCACAAGCGTAAATGCACCAAGAGGAGCCTCACAGGGAAGAAGAATCGAGTTTAGTGTGTGTACGTGAGCTCATTTCAGTTCAAAAAAGGATTTTCATGAAAAAATTGTAATAAAACTTTAATTTTATAAGTCTATTTCCATTTATTTTGAGGTATTGCCTTATTTAACATAGTTACCTAAATTGTCAGGAAACGTGATGTCCTATGACAAAATGGAGGTCATTTTCGGATTCAGCGCACCAAAAAACATAAAGATTACGTTGAATAACCAAAACAGCTCTTGAAAAAATTTTTTTTTGCAGACCTGTGTTATTAGTGCTCAGTCACACCATGATGCAGATACATCAGTTTTTCTGCACACGTTCTGCAAGGGCACAAAAAAAAAAAAAAAAAAAACGTTCTCTATCTGCCCTGTTCACACAACACTAGTATGACATGGATTTTTTTTCTGCACAGGAATTTGCAACGTGTAGAAAACTCACTGCAGCGCACATGAAAACTGATGTAAAATCATGTCTCTGCAAGTGAGAGGAGACATATTTATTTCAGTAAACAGAGTCACTACAGAACTGTTACTCGATAAGGCAACAGTGAAAAAGCAGTAATAATGCTGAGAAAGGCTTCCTTATCCAAGACAGCTTTCAGCAGTCACCTGATTGTTTGGTGTGTTTTACAGTAATCATCCCTAAAATTAGCTGTTTTTCTAACCAAAAACTACTGCTGGAAATGAGTTCCAGGTTTCAAACTACTCACCGCTAATGCAAGATTCAAAATTGAAGCAGCGTAGTCAAAGCTATGAACTACTTTATAGTTCATTGTGCTGTAAATCTTAACATGCCTGTTTAAGAGATAAAAAAAACAAAACACATTATACATTAAATATACACAACAAAAACAACGATGTTAAAGCGGAGTTCCAGTTGAATTAAAAAATAAATATATATAAGTCAGTAGTTACAAAAACTGTAGCTGCTGACTTTTAAAATAGAGACACTCACCTGTCCCTCGGTCCAGCATCTTTAGTGTTGACACCCGGCTGTGACAGCTTGCGGCTTCACAGCCCACTGCACATACACGTGTATGTGTATGCGCTTTGTGAATGGTCCCGTAGTCTTCTGGGACCTGCCACATCTCCAAGAAAACTATGGGGAGGGAGGGCAGGGAGGACAGCTTCTGATCGCCTTAATCGATTGCACCGGAAGTGGGAACGGGTACCTGTCAAATCCGGGTACCCACTCCCCAAAAGGTGCCAATCCTTAACAGGGAGCAGGTGACAAAGCCTTAATGCAGAACCTCCCCTTTTGGGGGGTGGAGCTCTGCTTTAAACTTTAAACAGAAGAAGCACTGGCACTGCACTGGCAGCTGTCATTGGTACAGTCTGGTGTACAACATCTGGACCTAAAGTATCAATATGTTAAGCACCATGATGGTTTATTATGCCTCATTGCCACAAATCACATTCAAAAAAATGCACATCACAAAGCATCTGAAAGCTTTAATCTGATGGATGACTGGTGGAAAAAGTAGTCATATGTATTTTCTATATCGGTTCTGACCAACGTTTCAGACTGTGAGCTCCATAAGCTTTTATGGGGATGTCTCCCTACTGGGACAGCGGGGCAGACAAGCTGCATAAAAGCCTGTGTGGCTATACATCACAGGAACGGACAAGAAAGGGAGGCGTCAAATCTCAGTAAATATACAGGGTTTGGACAAAAATATGGAAATGCTACATGATTTGCAGTTGTAAAAGTGATGACATGTTTCACGCTGAAACCAAAAGTGATGTAACATTCTTTTGCTTCTGCTGTGTGATGAAATACCTAGCTAACAGGTGGGAAGCCTCACATTCATCATTCATTGCGTGCGTTGCTAGTAGTACGGAGTCATGTCAGAGCTTACTGAACTACAAAGAGGGCAGATTGATTGTTGGTGCCCACTTAGCTGGTGCCTCTATGACTAAAGTTGCCAATTTATTTGACAGTATCAAAGGTTATGATGGCATATACAGTTTGTGAGAAAACAGAAGCATAAGTACGGTCATTGGGCAGGATTGTGACCTGGATGGAATAAGGAAACAACTGCTGCAAAAGTGACTGCAGCGCTCAATCTCAGTTTTCCAAAGTGTCCACAAAAAACTGTGCGGAGGGAACTCCATAAAGTAAGACATCCATGGGCAAGCTGCAATTGCCAAACCACCAGTGACCGATTTTAATGCTCAGAAGAGGAGAGAGTGGTGCAACACCCATGAACTGTGGACTATCAATCAATGGAAGACTGTAATATGGCTTGATGAATCGAGGTTCACACTGTTCCCAATAACTGTATGTGTTTACATGTGGCGAACACATTCCCAAGCTTACGAACAGGACTGTCTCATGTCAATGGTAAAGCATGCTTGCAGCACAATCATGGTTTGGGCAGCCACATTGGTATTTTGAAGGCCCCATCATCACCTTGAAAGGTAAAGTCACTGTCAGCGACTATGTACAAATGTTGGCCAACCATGTGTACCCCAAGATGCAGACATTGTTTCCCGAAGACAGTGCCATTGCTCTGATTCACACAGCTGGTGTTGTCAAATCATAGTTTGATGAGCATGCAGACGAAGTCTCGCATCTTTCCTGAGCGCTGCAGTCGCTAGGACTCAGTATCATAGAGCCACTATGATCAATTTCAGAGAACATGGTTTGGGCCAGTTTCCTGCCTCTGGCATCTCTTCAAGAACTGGAACTATTTTTGCATGAAGAGTGGTATAAGATTCCAATATCCAACATACAAGACTTGTATTTGTCAATTCTCAGGAGAATTCAGGCCGTTTTGGATGTCAAAAGCAGTCCAACACCATATTAGGTAACATTTTCATTCTTTTACCTGTGTTTCCATAACTTTCATTTTTTCATAATCAGGGCAAAAGGATAAGTGCACTTATTCTTTAAAAAGGAACTTTTCACTCACGAATGGATTTCTCCATTACAAACACACCTGTCTAATGATGCAGAAAGCAGCCTTTGTCCGGAACTGCTGAGACACAGAGAGGTGACAGTCTTGTGATGGTTTCTCAGAGACAGCAGTAACCCTCCACCCTTCAGCATGTCCCACACTTTCACATATCGACCACCTAAAAGAGGACCGGGTACAGTTAGGAAACTGGAAGGTACTGCTCTATGATTTCTAGCATGTAAAAATGATGCTCAAATTATTTTTGTGCACATGAACAATATAATCCCTAAATTTTCTGTTAAATATAAAAAAATTATTTCCTTCAAGTATATAAATCTCCAATATGTTAAGTAAAATGGCAAAAAACTACAAATACAACAGAAAAAAACACTTTACATACCGTATTTGCCGGCGTATAAGACGACTGGGCGTATAAGACGACCCCCCTCTTCCAATGCACACCAGTGGGAGGAATAGTGCCCCATCTTGATGTCAGTGGGAGGAATAGTGCCCCATCATTGGCATTAGTGGCAGGAATAGTGCCCCATCATTGGTGTCAGTGGGAGGAATAGTGTCCCATCATTAGTATCAGTGGGAGCAATAGTGCCCCATCATTGGTGTCAGTGGCAGGAATAGTGCCCCATCATTGGTGTCAGTGGCAGGAATAGTGCCCCATCATTGGTGTCAGTGGGAGGAATAGTGCCCCATCATTGGTGTCAGTGGGAGGAATAGTGCCCCATCATTGGTGTCAGTGGGAGGAATAGTGCTCCATCATTGGTGTCAGTGGGAGGAATAGTGCCCCATCATTGGTATCAGTGGCAGGAATGGTGCCCCATCATTGGTATCAGTGGCAGGAATAGTGCCCCATCATTGGTGTCAGTGGGAGGAATAGTGCCCCATCATTGATGTCAGTGGGAGGAATGGTGTCCCATCATTGGTGTCAGTGAGGGGTGGAATAGTGCCCCATCATTGGTGTCAGTGAGGGGTGGAATAGTGCCCCATCATTGGTGTCAGTGGGGGGGGGGAATAGTGCCCCATCATTGGTGTCAGTGGGGGGGGAGGAATAGTGCCCCATCGTTGGTGTCAGTGGGAGGAATAGTGCCCCATCATTGGTATCAGTGACACCAATGATGGGGCACTATTCCTCCCACTGAGACTTGCTGACCCTGTTCTCGTATGGTGCTGCTGCAGCCAGCATATGTGGTTGCAGCAGCACCTCTACACAGAACACTTACCTGCTGCTCCGGCACTCAATTTTCGCGGGGGCCGCTCGGCTCCGCCCCTCGCCGGTGATTGGCCGCCTGTGTGCCTTTCCTGAGCTACAGTTCTGGCGGCCAATCACCGGTGAGGAGGCGGACCCGAGCAGCCGCACGAACATCCAGTGGCCGAACTGAAGGAGACGCCGCGCTTCCTGGACCGGATCGTCGTGGGACTGGATCCAGGTAAGAGACATCAGCCCCTGCAAACCCCTGTACTTAATGCCGCAGCCCCCCTAAACATGTGTACCGGCGTATAAGACGGCCCCCGACTTTTGAGAAGATTTTCAAGGGTCAAAAAGTCGTCTTATACGCCGGCAAATACGGTAGATGGCACTTTACAGTGTCACTAAAGGCAAAACTTTATTTTTACTTTTAGATAGAGTGGAGAGGGATTAGAACCCCTGTCAGGTTTTATTGTGGTCTGTGCCCTCATTGGGGAGATTCACACTCTCAATTGGACTTGTTTACTGTTAACGTTGAAAGTAAAAGAAAACACCAAGTTTTGGGTTGACATAAAAGCAATAAAAGGGAAATCTTTCAATGGTGACAAGCTCAGGTGACACCCTGGGATTCCCTCACTTTGGAGGGATTTCTCCCCTCACTTCCTCTTTTGGATATGGGAGGAGAAGTGAAGAAAAATCTCCCCAATTGGACAAACCAGCAAATAAACCCTCCCTTATACTTTCCACAAATGACAAAAAAAAGGTTTTGCCTTTAGTTAAAAAAACGTTGAAGATCACAAATTCAGAATTAGCCCTAGAATGAATCCACTCACTCCATACTATCATACGTACTTATAGTTACATATTTGTCTGTAAGGGCAGAGAGCCCGAAATTCTTTTTTTTTTTTAGCAATTTATTTTAATTTTACTTTTTTCCTCCACTTTAATTAACTGGTACCTCAAGAGAGCCAATAGGCTCCCAAGTCATTGCAGGCAATTGCTACTCTGTCAACTAGACCCCCTGATGCTTCCCTTACACAGGCAAAGACTACCCAACTCTGATGGTCAGGATTTGAGAACTCTGAATCCTGACTTTTTCAGATCATGTGCTTCCGAGTTCATGCTCTGAAGAGAAGATTTGCTAATGGATGTTCTCTAATCTCCTCGCTATCCACCACGTTCACACACTTAAAAGCAATCAGGCAGCTTTGCAGTTGCCCAAATCCCTTTTACTAAAAAGCCAGAGACAGCAGAGTGACAGTGATGTATAAAAATGATTGCAGCTGTGAGCATGTTTGCAAATCTGTTACTTCTGTGCTGCTATCCTTATAAAGGCAGCAGTAAAAGGGGTTAACAGCGCAACTCCAACCCATTTTTTTTTTTTTTTTTTACTATTTGAAAAGAGGCCCAAAGGATGACAATCACCATTTCTGTGTAAGAGAGCTGTCTGGTGCCATTACAAGATGTGAAGTAAAATCTCCCAATGAGTTCAAAGACAGCAAAAAAAAAAAAAATTACATGGGTTCCAAGCCTTACTACTACGAACACCATTTTTCATCCACTGGTCTCAGTTTTTTCTTCATTAATTTTTGTTTCATCATTTTTGCCTGAGATATATGAGAAATCCGTGGCTGTGTTCACATAACAATTTGTTCTTAATATTTCCTGGTGGTTTTCACCTCACATGGAATCAGGTAAGTGTATAACCATATTGTAGAGTATCAGCATTAAATTTTCATAAATAAATCCAACATTTTTCTAGTTTATAAGCTGTATTGCTCCTTGCATGATACCTGCAGAGACAAAAAGTCCCTCAGAGGGGAAGAGAAGAACACTTTCCACTGGATGCTCATGGTCCATGGTCATCACACTCTTTTCTGTCCGGGTATCAAACACCTTTACTGTGTGATCGTAGGAACCTGTAATCACATGCGGTATCATTAACACATTCACTAGCCATGATATAGATAAAACATACAGGGGGAAGAAAAAAAAACAAACATAACATGTTACACACTTGCTGCATTCCCGTGTTTCTTAACTGGGGTTCAGCAGAACCCTAGGGTTCCATGAGAAGCCCCCAAGGGTTCCGCCACAATTCACCATTGTGGATGTATGTCAATGGTGAATTCAGTGCACACTGACAGTGAGTACTGCAAGGGCACATTGATACTCTATGCCTCCCTGGTAGTTCCAGCTACTGTATCATCCCTGCAGAGTGCAGAGCAGGACAAGAGGAGAGCGTGCAGAGTGTCTCCTTCCCTCATCAGTGGCTATTGATTCCAGCAGTGGAATGTTGTACCAAGGTGAGCACAAGAGATGAACTGTGTACAGCATACCTGTACTCCTACTAATCCTAACTGTAGTCCACTTGATCCCCCCAGGCTCTCCTCTTCTGTCCATCCCAGGCACTTGTGTGTGACATCACCTGGCAGGAATGAGAGAGGATTGCTGGCAGGGATCAGGGTGCAGGAAAACAAACAGTACTACAGAACCCCTGTGCCTTGGCCTAGTGACCCCCCTGTCTAATTTCAGTTGAAGGGGAAATTCATGTGCGCATATCCCAAGTTCAACCCAGAATTGAGCATCTGTGCAGAGAAAAAAAAAAAAAAAAAAAAAAAAAACAGCGCAAGTTTTACATTAACTCTTGCCTACTGGACACTTTCACCCCCTTCCTGCCCAGGCCAATTTTCAGCTTTCAGTGCTTCCGCACTATGAATGACATTTGTGCAGTCATGAAACTATGTACCCAAACAAAATTTTTATCTTTTTTTGAGATATATAGAACTGTTTTTTTGGTGGTATTTAATTACCACTGGGTTTTTTTATTTTTTTTGCTAAACAAACAAAAAAAGACCACAAATTTTGGAAAAAAAAAATAAAGTTTCTTAGTTTCTGTTATAAAATTGTCTCCTTCTCTGATGTGCCCTTCACGAATAGTGCCCTGGTTATCAGTGTAGATGTCTCCTGTGTGGACTGCTGCTTATCGGCTCTCCTCACGAGCTGTCAGCTTGAGGAGAGGACTGCCGATAACCAGCATTTCTTGTTTACATGTGATCAGCTGTGATTGGACACAGTTGATCACATGGTAAAGAGCCTACACCATTGGCTTTTTTTTTTCCACGATCAGTGATCTGCTGGGTCCTAGGGTCACAGCGCACCACCGATCACCTAGATGCGCACACCTGGGGGCGCACATGTGCCACTAAAGTGGGAGGACGTCATATTACGTCCTCCCAGAACAAGAGAGGTCCTGTCCGTCATTTCCCAATACGATGGACGGGAGGCAGAAATATTGAATATTTATATACTATTATTTAATGCAGTTTCTAAAAATAATTGTTATATCAACATCTCACTGATCACACCGATGTTCCATGAAATGTAGATCTGAAGATTATTTTAGGAGTTCCCTAATATCTCTAAATTTTTGCCGAGGGTTCCACAAAGGCAAAAAAGGTTGAGAAACACTGGTTCACAGATAAGCAGATTACCAAAAAAAGATTTTGGGACAGGTATTTAGCTTCCCAATAGTCTCTGTAATGATACACACACACTAGAGACACACACTACCACAAACATCAGTAGGGACCTCACAAGTTCACTGGCGTTCAAACTGTTGTCCCAAAGAATAAATCTAAAATTCAAAGCTTACTACAATCCTTTAGTTGATAAATAGTGAACACAAGCCAAAAATATTTAGTTTTTTTTTAAGACAGACTGGAAAAGGGTTCACCATTCATGCTGACATCCTAGCCTAGTGACAACTGTACCTTGGACAGGTTGCATGGAAAAAAATTTCTCTACCCATGCTATACAATGAGGGTGAACCAATCGCCCACTGTGACTGTTGTATTTTGACAGCTAGCCCTGGCATTTGTCAAAATAACCAAAATGGTGCCTCCATCATACTGGATGCAGGCGCTGTCCAGCGAGAGGCAACCAACAGGCTGGCACCCACTGAATGAATTATGGTCGGTTCATCAGGAACCAGCCAAAATTCCATTAGTGTATGGCCAGCCTAAATCTCCACAAGAACACAAAATAATAAATCTATGAAAGGCTTTCTAAAAATGTTGCAATACATAATACTAATTTAAAAAACACCAGTTATGTTTAAGGAATAAAGCAATTCGTGTGCAACAGATCGCATTGCTTTTCTTGGACTTTCACATTTTACTGCAACTTGTGCCAGTTTACTTTTAAGGAACAAGGGATTTAGATTTTATTAAAGATTAGGTAAGAAATACAGATTCAAAACCTAAAATTTAAGACAAGCTACACCTGAGAATAAGGGTTTCTGCCTTCTAGCAGTTTAAAAAAATGGGATTGTCTCACCTCAAATAGACAAATGGGAGGTATGCAGTGCTTGTACCCCAATGCATCATCCAAATACAGTGCTCAGCATAAAAGTACACCCCAACATACTTGTCAGAAAACTTTTACTTTCCTTTCAGAATCGCCATATATGGGAAACTATACTACAAAATACTCCCACAAATGTGGGACATTGACTGCAAATAAGATTTGTTAATTTGTACAAACAAAAAAAAGTATTGAATATTAATTCAAGACCACGTTGCAAAAGTGAATACACCCCAATGAAAGTCTTAGGAGCAAACCTAAATTTTAGACAACAAAATCCTAATTAACAAGAATCCAACTACAGGTGAGTCTAATTATTCATTAAACAGGTGTGCAGTAGACAGTTGATTATAGAAGTGTGTTACTTAAAGAAAACCCCTCCCATTTCATGCTGTCAGCAATGGCACCACATGGAAGAGAAATGTCACAAGGCCAGAGAAAGAAAATAATTTCTTTACACAAGAAAGGTGAAGGTTACAAGATCAGCAAAGCTTTATGTGTCAGAATACTGTAGCAAAAGTGATGCAAAAATGTAACAAAGATGGAACTGCAACCATCTCACAGAGACGTCCAGGCTGTACACAGAAGTTAACACCTCAACAGGAGGGTCTTCTGATAAGGATTGAAGAAAATCACCATGCAAGTTCACTGCAGTTAGCTAATGAAGTAGAAAGCCAAACAGGGGTGATTATTTCCCATGACACAATACGGTGTACACTGCAGAGGAATGGCATGCATGGGTGCCATCCACGAAGGAAGCCTCTCCTAAAGCCCATGCACAAAAAAGCCAGCCTAGAATTTGCCAGGGCCCATGCTGAAAAAGAAGACAACTACTGGGACTCTGTACTCTGGAGTGATAAGACCAAGATGAATGTTTTTCGAACTGATGGCTTCAAAACTATATGGCGTTGCAAAGGTGAGGAGTACAAAGAAAAATGCATGGTGCCTACAGTGAAACATGGTGGTGGCAGTGTCGTTCTGTGGGGCTGTATGAGTGCTGCTGGTGTCGGGGAGCTGCATCTCATTGATGGTATCATGAATTCACAGATGTACTTCTCTATATTGAAAGAGAGGGTACTACCATTACTCCATGCCTTGGTCATCTGGCACTTTTCCATCATGACAATGATCCAAAACACACATCTAAGGCCACAGTTGCATTTCTGAAGAAGAACAGGGTGAAAGCGATTCAGTGGCCAAGTATATCTCCTGATCTGAACTTAATTGAACACCTATGGGGAGTTCTGAAGAGGAAGTTGAGCATCATTCTCCATCCAGTACCCAGGCTGTAAAAGGTCGTTCTTGAAGAATGGAAAAAGATAAATGGTGCAATATGTCTCCAACTTGCTCATTCCATGCCTAAAAGACTTGTTGCTTCCCTTACAAATCATGGAGGTCATACAAAATACTAGATGTAGTAGTTTTTGTTGTGGGGTGTATTCAGTTTTACTCAAATTAGTTGATGCAAAAATGAAGATTTTGTCATCTAAATTATATTATTAACCTTACTTTCATGTAATGAGCTAAACAAATGTTCTATAAAAATCAGTTTTGTCAACATTTTGGAAACTGTTCTTGTGTTCATTGAGATATTAATAAAATCTTACTTTTCAAAAGGGGTGTACTCATTTATGATGAGCACTGTATAGCTCAACCTCTTGTTTGCTGGAAGAGAAGAAAGACTACTCACCTGTGACAAACAAACCATCATTGAGTTTACTAGCACAGCCGCAGCGCACGTAGTCTGTGTGCTCTTTGTAGGAAGAGATTTCAGTGCCATTTGGAATATCCCAAATCTTGGATGAATAATCATCAGAGCCAGATACAATCCGATATTTGTCTGACATGAAATCCACAACATGCACTGCCCTATACAGGAACAAAAACATGTACTTAGAATGAAAAATCAAAGCTAAACATACTAATACTGGGGTGGGGGGGTGTATCTATTAAATAAACTACTACTTAATGGTGTGTTTTCTGCAGCCACCACATGTTTAATCCCTTTGCAACCACAAATCCTATATTAACTCCCTCCTTTTGAGAACTAGCAGGCAATACTTTGCACAGTTACCAACCCTCAAACAATAACAGTTTAAGTCCCCATTAATGATTGGGAACCAATCAGAACACATCCCACTCAAGCTGACTCTTAGTCATCTATGACTCCAGTGATGTTGAATTCCTATCGCCCAACGCCCGGGACATTTAGTTCCGTGCACCAGGCAGGTAGATTTTTTTTTACCTTCAGCCCTGCTACAGGCAAGCAGCAGGGCTCACCTGTTAAGTGGAAGGCTTCCACAGAGTGCAAGCTGCTCTGTCCCCCCCCAGTGTGAAGCTACCCCCATCTCCTGGGCTCGAGTTGCCCATCTGAGGGCCCGGGACCGGCTCACCGCCGGCGGCTAGAGGGGAGGGAGTACAGCGGACACGTCCACTTCCCTCCTTCTTGTCCTGACCCAGAAGTGACATTATGATGTCACTTCCAGGTCCCCGTTAAGAGATTCCCAGCAATTGAGACCAAGAAAGAATGTAATGAAGTGCGATGTGCACTGCATTGTCCCCTATGTGATTAAAAAAAAATAATTTTTTTTTCTTTTCAATTGTAAAAAATGAAAGTCACACCCAAGCACATAACATCCCCCTCACATATATGCACATACAAACGTAAAAGCACACGCTGGGGCGCCTACGCATGGAAACGTCAATTGCGATACACATATTACATATCGCCGCGCACACCAGATGAGAGCAATAAAATTATTTTTTATTAATCTTGTGCAAAAAAAAAAAAAAAAACGGCTCTGGCAGCGAAAGGCAAAGGCACCCAATCAGTGCTCATTACACTGGAAGGTCTCTCTCCTCCCTGCCAGTCCCCAGGTGCGGTGCTGGAGACAGGCAGGTAGGGGAGGAGGAGATAAACAGCGCAATGTTAAAAATATTAAAATGTTTAAGTCCCCATAAAATCCCTTTTGTTTTTAAAACATTCCTAATATCACCTCCGATTTAAATACGGTTTTGGTTAAAAAAAAAAAAAAGAATTTATCTGGACAAGTAGATGGTCATCAGGGACAAGTAGATTGGGAAACCGATTTAGTCCCTTGGACAAGTAGCTTTTTCAAAAATTTCCACACCCCTGTATGACATAATGATAGCATGCAGGCTGTGGGCTTTACAAAGTCTTTAATTTAAAGAAGGTGGCAGTGTGCATGCATGTAGTAGTGTAATTGTACTGAGCATCTAAAATCAGAAACTCATAAAAACACTACTGCAAAAAGCACAAAATGCTTTTGAATTGTCCTGTGCAGAAGTAAGGGGTATATAGCCCAAAAGGGCAGGCATGTTGTCCTGTTTTTTGAAGCCTGTTTTACAACATGTAAATATATTACGTACAAAAAAACAAAAACAGGCATATATACCTGGAAAAAAAACCTACAAGTGTATCTATAGTCAAATGTAAAATCATATATTAATTCTCAGATTGTATTTCAGTTATTTCTAGCCTACTCCTATTAATCTGCATTGTCTCAAACAGGTACACTTTGGTAAGTAAAAAAAAAAAAAAAAAAAAAGCGTATGATCAGCCCTATGGAGGAGTTAGAGGTTTTCAGAAATCAGATTACCTAGCAATGATTTTGGACAATACCAGATTTAATCTATATCCACATTAATACACAAGTCAGGATGCACAATAAGCAGGTTCTAAACTCACAGCTACTATATGCAAAATAACAGCATAAACCATAGTGGTATGAAAAGAGACTCCAAGAGAACATTTACTTGCTGTGTCCGGAGAACTGTCTGAGAGCAGCCTTGCCATTGATATCAAAAAGCTGTACAACACTGTCTTCACAGCCAGCGGCCAGTAATCTCCCATCCGCTCTGTAGGTCCCACAATAAGCTGTGTCTTTGAAGCGAGAGAAGGTTTTTATAGGCTCTTGAGAATACTGCCCGTAAATGTGGATCTAAGGAGAAAAAGTTTTCTAGCTGTTAACATCTAAATTTGGACTGTGCTAACTATACAATACCACAGCTATCCTAAATATACTAATGCATACTGCACAATTAATCCTTTAGGAGTATAGGAAAATATCTATGACAACAAATCTGTCATAACGTAATAATCGGCTTTGTGGTTTGTGTGAATATTATTCTAAAAGCATATAAAAAAAAAGTTTTTCCTTTAGTGACCAGTATACATAGAATAATAAGGAAAAACAAATCTATATATTACACACATATACACATACAGTGCTTTGAAAAAGTATTCATACCCCTTGAAATTTTCCACATTTTACCATGTTACAACAAAAAATGTAAATTTATTTTATTGGGATTTTATGTGATAGACCAACACAAAGTGACACATAATTGTGAAGTGGAAGGAAAATGATAAATAGTTTTCAAATTTTTTTACAAATAAATATCTGAAAAGTATGGCATGCATTTGCATTCAGCCCCCTTTATGCTGATACCCCTAACTAAAATCTAGTGGAACCAATCGCCCTCAGAAGTCACCTAATTAATAGAGTCCCCTTGTGTGCAATTTAAGCTCAGTAAAAATACAGCTGTTCTGTGAAGCCCTCAGAGGTTTGTTAGAGAATATTAGTGAACAAACAGCATCATGAAGGCCAAGGAACACACCAGACAGGTCAGAGATAAAGTTGTGGAGTTATAAAAAAAATAATCCAAGCTTTGAATATCTCACGGAGCACTGTTCAATCCATCATCCAAAAATGGAAAGAGTATGGCACAACTGCAAACCTACCAACACATGGCTATCCACCTAAACTGACAGGCCGGGCAAGGAGAGCATTAATCAGAGAAGCAGCCAAGAGGCCCATGGTAACTCTAGAGCAGCAGCTGCAGAGATCCACAGCTCAGGTGGGAGAATCTGTCCACAGGACAACTATTAGTCATGCAATCCACAAATCTGGTCTTTATGGAAGAGTGGCAAGAAGAAAGCCATTGTTGAAAGAAAGCCATAAGTCCTGTTTGCAGTTTGTGAGAAGCCATGTGGGGGACACAGCAAACATGTGGAAGAAGGTGCTCTGGTCAGATGAGAGCAAAACTGAACTTTTTGGCTTCAGAGCAAAACGCTGTGTGTGGCAGACAACTAACACTGCACATCACCCTGAACATACCATCCCCACCGTGAAACATGGTGGTGGCAGCATCATGTTGTGGGAATGCTTTTCTTCAGCAGGGACAGGGAAGCTGGTCAGAGTTGATGAGAAGATGGATGGAGCCAAATACAGGGCAAAAGACTTGAGACTGGGGCAGAGGTTCTCCTTCCAGCAGGGCAACGACCCTAAACATACAGCCAGAGCTACAATGGAATGGTTTAGATCAGTGGTCTCCAAACTGTGGCCCTTTGGGCACTATTCCTAACACTGACACCAAAAGTGGGGCATAATTCCCCCAGCTGACACCAAAAATGGGACACTATTCTTCCCACTAATATCAATGATGGGACCCTATTCCATCCACTAACCTCAATGATGGGCCAATATTCCTTCCAGTGATAGCAATGATGGGGCACTACTCCTCCTCCTACTGACCACAGGCACTATGAAACTGAACACCACACCTGAGACCTTGTTTACTCTCTCTGATTTTGGCCCTGAGACTTTTTTTACCCCCGCTGGCCAATCCAAAGTCTGAAGGACAGTAAACTGGCCCTTTGTTTGGAAAGAGACCTCTGGTTTAGATCAAAGCATATTCTTGTGTTAGAATGGCCCAGCCAAAGTCCAGACCTAAATCTAATTGAGAATCTGTAGCAAGACTTGAAATTGCTGTTAACAGACCCTCTCCAAACTGACAGAGCTTGAGCTATTTTTCAAAGAGAAGAATGGGCAAAAATTGCACTCTCTAGATGTGCAAAGCTGGTAGAAACATACCCAAAAAAAGACTTGCAGCTGTAAGTGCAGTGAAAAGGTGGCTCTACGAAGGGGGGCTGAATACAAATGCACGCCACACTTTTCAGATATTTGTAAAAAAATGTTGAAAACTATTTATCATTTTCCTTCCAATACACAATTATGTGCCACTTTATGTTGGTCTATCACATAAAATCCCAATAAAATAAGCTTTTGGCGGGGTTTGACGTGTGTGTGTGTGTGTGTGTGTAAATCACACCATTAGAAATTGTTATTGGCTAATTTTGTGATCTGAACTAGATTTGTTCATTAGTGCTCAATAACTTACCCTAGTAGATGATGTGACAGCATAACTTATAGGCTGGGCAGGTGAAAAGTCTATTTTTGTTACTGCACCAAATTCTTTGATCTGTACCGGAGTCTAAGAGAGAAATATTATAATACAAGAAAATATGAGCATGATTTTCAACCAGACAAAATATTTTTTTATTTAATTGATTTAAACATCCAGTTCTTGTTTGCGTCCCCTTACAAGGGAACAAAGTTAAATCTATGTGTTTTGTTTCCAAATTTAAAATATAAACCTTTAGTAGCATAAAGCAGTCAACAGTAGTCATTTCAATGATTGAACGAAAACTTAAAGTTTAAATGAATCAGTAAACATGTATAATTACCACATGGCATTTGTTTTAAAAGGGAGCTTGAAAGTCGCTACACTGAAGTTTAAAAATTGATAAATGCACATATTTTTGCAGGTAAAAAAAATGCATTTATTTTATTTTATTTTTTACTATGAGCCTTCAAAGTATTGCACTCAAGATCAGCAGATCACAGGTGCAATGCAAGGCTCTTGCAGACTGTCAGTGTAAGCTGTCTGCTTGTACCTTGTATGGACAGGCAGTTACACAATGACAGGAAGCATCAATGAACTACAAATCAACAGCTCCGTGGTAGGTCATTGAAAACTAAAAGCCAACAGACGCAAAGGCTATCGGTACTTGGAATTCTTCCATTCACAGAACTCTGTGAATGAATGATGTGGTAGGGTGGGCGAAGCCCCGTATGGCTGTAAGCCCCACCTCTGCTAACCCATGTAGGTTGGAGGGATTTTTAGGTAGACAGAAGCAGTCAAGTGAAAAGAAGTGTTACTTTATATTAGCAAACTTAATATCATGAAATAACTAATTAAGATGTTATATTTGGGGGGGGGGGGGGGGGAAAAAAAGATCCAAAAACAAAAGATCGGTACAATAGTAAAAAAAAAAAAAAAAAAACATTCTAAGTTTACATATAAATCTGAGTGAATTTCAAACTCTTTCTTGCTATGGGCCCTATGTAAAAAGCCTATAATAAACATATCAGCCAAAAAAAATCCAACCAATAGACCACAAACAATGATTACCCAGAAAGACTTCCTGCTAATTGGGCAATGACTGTCTCATGTCTATGGGTGCCTTTACACAATGCTTTATATGCAATATGTGTAGAATTTATGTCAGAGAGATTCTTCTTTAAAGGAAAAGAAGGCACCAATATCTATACTGCTTATAAGTCACTTATCCGTGTCACATCTTTCAGTTTCGTAGTTGACAAAACCCATTTACTTTTAACACAATTATTTTATATACAGTATTACCTTATAGCGCCTCCAGTACAATGTGTCTTGTGTTATCTTTTCCCCAAGCTTAGGGTACGATGGGATGGCAACAGGTTTGTATCCCGACATCTCCCCGTCTCCACAATATTAGCATATAGCAATGCAGGTTCTTCAGGAACAGCAGCCTGTTTTAAACAAAGATTAAAAAAATGAGTAAAATTTTAGACAGAACAAAAACACTGGGAAAGAAATGTGAGAGTACAAAACCATAACACAATACCACTCCTACACTGTAAAGTGGACCATACAATAACATTTTTAATTCATTAATGTATTCTTTCACATAACTAGAATATGTACTGAACGTCCATCCAACACTTGAAGACCGGCAGAGGAAAGAACAGACTAATGACCTCATTAGTAGATGGTTGCAGAATGCCAACTCCAGGCTGTTGCAGGACCTAGATCAGGCTGTAAGGGCCTGTGTCAATAGGATATGGGCTGGTGTCATAGGTATCTGTTTACAATGTCTGAGATTATTCAGAATTCACTGAAAAGTGCACTTATCCTGCAGTTTACCTCCTTCAAGTATGTTTTTGCATAGATTTGCATGAGCATTAAAAACCCCATCTGATGTTTATAAAAGCGCATTGTCACAGATGTTTCAATATATCCTGCAATGAGGATAGATGTGCTGTTTGGCAATGAATCCTAGATTGCAAGACTGGCTGAGCAGGGTTACAAATCTTCTAGCAGGTTAAGACAAACCGGTATGTGAAGAAATAGGTAAACTTGACAACCGACACTCAGAAATGGACACTGACACTTGGTGTGATCCCATAGGCCTTTTGCAACCAGGACTAGAAAGAAATGGCAGTGCAGCCCTCCTCAGACCAGGGAAATCCAAAAAAACTGCACAAAAACATGAAAACAAAGGACGCAAACCCCTGGTGCATTAACATAAAACTATTTATTAAGAAATAAGAGAAAAAAGGTTACACTCACAAACCAAGTGAACTATTGGCATCTAATTGCATAAGCACACAATGTGGACCGCTCACCACCTCCAACTGGAGACCACACAGTGGTGACTGTTGATGCGTTTTGGGGACCATCCCCATCCTCAGAGCAAAGGCTGAAGTCTCCCAGGAGAGGAGGGAGAAAGTTTTTAAACACTCATTTGTCCTGCCATGATGGCTAGACTCCGAAAACATGGATTCGTTCCATATCCGCTCTAGTGCAAGAGAATTCGTCTTGCTATCATCAATGGGGCCGATGTCACCACTAGAACATTTTCCCCTTATCTGGAAGCTGGGACATCTGGTATGACGTATTTTCGATCCCAAACTTCCAGTTCGGGGGCTGCGTTCCGGCTGGAGATTAGTTTGCGCTCCAGCATCAGGAAGCATGACTAGCGTGAGTTCAATGAACAGGAAGCGCGCAGTTCAGTTCATTTTGACAGCAGACCCCAATTAATTATTCAGCAGCAACCACTGTCTCCCATTAGAATTATCCCCCCATGCAAATGCTTCATGAGCCAGTGGCTACCATATTCCACTGCATTAACTGGCCACACACACACACTGTATATATATATATACATATATATATACATATATATATATACATATACATATATATATATATATATATATATATATATATATACACACACACACACACTTATGCATATACCGATTTACTATTCTGCGATACACATTTCCATTTTACTTGAGGTGGTTAAGTTGGTTAATCGTGTACTGATAACATGTTTGTATGTTCTTATTATTTATATGCATACAGTACGATTAGTCCCCTTTAAAAGAACTTCCTCCCTCCTCTCCCTGCCTCCTGATGGTAGGTGGGCTGTGGGATCCACACGTTATTTTACGGAGTTTAAGTTCTGGGAAACTTCAGCCCTTGCTCTGAGGAAGGGGACAGGGTCTCCGAAACACGTCAACAGTCAATACCATCTGGTCTCCAGTTGGAGGTGGAGAGTGGTCCACATTGTGTACTTATGCAATTACATGCAAATAGCTCACTTGGTTTGTGAGTATAAGCTTTGTCTCTTATTTCTTAATAAATTGTTTTAAGGTAATGAGCTAGGGGTTTGTGTTCAAGAAGAGATCCCGGAGCAACGGCAAGGTATTCCCGAGTGTAGCTCGGGGTTTTCATGCTTGTTTTTTGACGACAAACCCCGTAGCTAACGCTCGGGATGTACCTTTAGGGGGGGTTAAAAAACAGCCACTTAGAGTGTCCACAGGTCCAGACAGTGTGTCCCCCGTAGCCCGTTTCACCGGCCATCCTGAACTCCAGGAGGCTGTCCATCTTCAGTGTGGGCACCCGGCTGTGACAGTTGCGGCTTCACAGCCGCATACCCACTGCGCATGCGCGAGTAGCGCTGCGCTTCTTGGTCCTATTGTCTTTGGGGACCTGTCATGTGTCCCAAAAACTACAGGGCAGGAAGGGAGGAGAGGGTACCTGTCAAATTCGGGTACCCGCTACCCCCCCCCCCCCCCCGCCACCCAAAGGTGCCAATCCTTAATGGGGACGGCAGTCCTTAAAGCAGAACGTCCCCTTTTGGGTGGCCTTCAAAAGTGACCCTGTCATGACATACAAGTTTCAGAAACAGTGTACCTGCAAAGTAAGAGGAAATACCGAACTTACCGCTGCTTTTGCTGCCCTTACAACATGTTCAGTAGAAATCTTCCTCCGAAGTCCACAGGGAAACCAGCAACTTCTCGGACTGCTGATCTCCTGGGTCCCCACAGCTCTCATTAGCTACTCCAGAACTCCATCATTACAGGATTACACTCATTAGTTATGGAAGGTCAGGAGAACCCAGTGAAAGTTCTGGAGAACATCAAAACTATTGCAAGCACCTTTTTCCTGCACATTCACAGCAAGATTTCTCCCTAAATGGCGGCAAACTTGCCTCTGATACTTTTAGGGGGTGTTTTTAAATGACCCTGTCATGACATAAAATTTAGAATAATGCTGATCTATGTGTAGTCTGACTTGAACATGGCATGGCACAAGAAATCCAGCTTCCTTTGGATGTACTTCTTTGTTTTTTCTACTATAGGGTATTTATTGTTGTAAAAAAAAAAAAAAAAAAACGTCACAGGCAATTATGACATCGAAACAAGAGATGTAACAAATGGAAACATTTTATTTATTGCGTGAAGTTGATGCATCAAAAAACAGACAGTGAGGCTAGCACTAGTGAAAACAATGGCTAACCTTGTACGTGTGTTTACATATGATACAAAGCATAGGCGTGAATGAGCCCTTCCATTTTCTGATTAGGGCTCCCCTGACATCCAGTGCATAGTTTGTGAATAAAGAAAAACTGTATGCTTAAAAAGCTGCAAAACACTGACTGCAGTGCAGCAAATCGCTTTCTTGATCAGCTAGTGACAATGGATAGAGAATTGGTTCAACTGCTTAGTTAGCAATTGCTGCGAAAAAATACCTAAACCTAATATTACAATTTATTTATAAATGAAACCTGCAAACTGACAAGCTTTATTCACAGAAAACAACACCAATGCTCTTGAAACACAAAGTGTGGCTACATCTGTCAAACTGACAATGAGCCCTTACAATGAGACCAAGCAGAGGGGAAGAGCCAGGAGTCAAGTTTGCTATGCAGAGTGGACATTCTACCTTGCAATGTTAAAGAACCAGAGAGTGGTTGTAAAAAACAGACTGTGTTGGCAACTCTAGATTAGACATTCCATGACCCTTTCACCTGTCACATACACCAAAAAGACCAAGCATAAGATACAGGGCTATTAAAAGCGGTTTGAGGATTTAAAGCAGAATGTGAAAATCCCATACTGAGACAAATACTGGAGTTGATGTCCTCCTCTTGAAAATGCTGGTTGCCTGGCTTTCTCTAGCTTAAATATATTTTAGGAATCATTAACCCAGCACAAGTATGCAGCATGAAATCATATAACCTGATCTCCATACTTGTCTGGGGAAAACACTCGGAGTACAGACACCAGAGGATCCACAAGTTAGCAAGGCAACTAACATTTTCAAAACAAAGAGGTCAGTAATTACAATCTTGCATTTCTCTCATAATGGTCTTACCTTAAAAGGTATCACTTTCAAATGTTCAAGAGTTGTGGTTGCAGTTTGTAATGTCATAGTTCATCGATCTCCCTATGTTCATGAATTCATTCACTTAGATTGTGTCTAGGGGCAGACATTTTCTTGTTCCAGGTCACACAGAATCCAATGCATGTTTGGCCTCTGTGTTGCATCACAAATGTGGGAGTGATTATGTAATAAAAACATATGGTGATCTGTCAAAAGGAGATGTATAGCTAAATCTATTTTGGCCCTATGTCTCCTACGGATTACAAGAGTGCAGCGCGTTCTTCACGCCTGTGACCCGTTTTCAGCCGACAGTGGACTTAAACCCGCTGTTGGCAGATGTCACTCAGCTGGTTCAGCCTCTGAAAAGATCCAGACTTTAAAGTGCCTTATCAGCACCTAGCTCAGAGAGCTGCTCCTGCCCCCTCCACAGCTCGGCGCTCCACTAACCGCTGGAGGGACAGAGCAGAGAGCCGGTGATTAACAGTCACAGCTCTCTGCTCAGAGCGGACCCGAGAACTGAGCGATCAGCAGTGTTTGATCTCTCAGTTCTTGCTGTAAAACCCGGTGGGGGACAGATGAGAAATCCACCTAGATAAGTATAAGGTTTCATTTTTTTTCAAAAGCTCATTCTTCTCCTTTAACCACTTGATCTCCACCTTTTTAAGTACAGGGCCTAGAGAATAAAATAGTAGGTTTTTAAAAAAATTTTATGTCACATGATATTTGGGCAGTGGTGTTTCAAATGCAATTTTTGGGAATAAATACTTTTTTGAATTATAATGCAAAAAAAAAAAAAAAAATACTTACATATAAAAGATATGTCGAGTAAATAGATACCAAACATGTCATGCTTTAAATTTGCGCACATGCTGTAAATTTTACTATTTATAGTTGACACTTTAAACATTTTTTTTTTTTGTTTACACTGTTGCTTTATTTATTTATTTATATTTATTGCTCTCAAAAGAAATGTAAACATCCCTTGTGACAGCAACAGATATGTGACAGGTACTCTTTAT